GAGGATGACACTGGGCCTGGGCAGGGTCTTCCTCATGTTGGCATCTAACAACTACAACAACAGAGCTTGCTTGGCGAGAAAAAAACAGGCCCTACCAAAGGCTTACAGAAGAAATACTATCAATTCTTCACAAACTTCTTCAGAGGAGACAAGGAGGAAACCCTTTCCGACTCGTTTATGGTGCCAGTGTTACCCTGATACAAAAGCAAAGGCCTCAGAAGAAAATGATAGACCGACGTCCCTTACGACTAAAGATGCAGATCTCAACAAAATACTAGCAACGTTAACAACACGTAAAAATTATGACGGTGCCGTTACACATGCAACATGTGTGTTACATGTTTTGGCAAACCAGGCAATCCCTGCACATTTATTTCATAAGCACCAACTACTCCAATATTGTGTACCACGTGCTGACTTCAGTTTCTTGCTGTTTTTCCTTCCTGCCCCATGATTTTAATGTTAAGTCTGCACCTTCCTTATGTGTAGGTTTGGGATCCAGCAGGAGACCCTCATCAGCCTAGTCTTGAGGTTCTGCAGACAGGATGCCTCCCCACGTCACTTTCTCATTTCAGAAGGACATTACTTGTCCTGCCTTGGAAACAACCTTTGTTAGGGTGGTTGGCGCCAGCCCACGAAGTGGTGGGTCTGCATATCCTGGGCCAGAGAAACCACTCGTGTGGATGCTGCAGCCACTCATGTTCCACTCTACCCACTGGTTGGCCAGCCACCAAGCTCAGTCCATTTGAATCTTTTGCCTGGACAGACCCTTTGGGGTGGGCATGAGAAGCACCGGTGCGGAGGGGTGGTGTGTCCCTTACTCTGACAACACAGGTCTGACAGGCCTCCGGGGGTCCCTCAGAGGTATTCCTATACATTATCAACAAACCATATGGAAATAAATCTAAGAGATCAATTCCTCATCACAACAGCATCAAAAACAAAGCAATGACAATTTAGGAATGAGATCCACCAAAGAGGTGTAAGACTGAAAACGACAAATAATGGTTGAAAGAAACCAAAGACATAAATAAATGAAGAGAAATCTCATGCTCATTGGTTAGAAGACTTACTACAGCTGAGATGGCAATGCTCACCACTAGACCACTACTGATTTAATGCAATCCGTATCAAAATCCCAGGGGATGTTTTTGCAAAAATCATTAATCTGATCCTGAAATACAAGGAATCCACTAACCTTGAAAACTTGGACAATCCAGACTTTCCCACGTAAAATTTTACTCTACAAGTAAAGTTACAGTATAATCAAGACAGGCAGTACTGGCCTAAGGATAGACAACAAAATAGAATTGAGAATTTACATTTTTTTACAAGAGTGCCAAGACTGGAGGAGGAATCATCTGCTGGACAAAG